AATAAAGTTCTACCGCATTTACGCTCGTTCACTCGACGTTTCAAAATTTTAAATAAAACAATAATAATAGTAAGAAAACCACTGACATTTAAACGTCAAAAATATTTCTGACAAAGATTGCAAAGCCTACTAAGATTTTTTCATTTAAAATTCATTCCAACTTTCGATTAACAACTCTACAGCTTAACAGTTAGTGTTTGCTTAATTAGAGGTTTTTCTGAATGACGTGCCCAAACTTCAGGGGGTGATTCTTTAGGCAATTTTAAGGGTACTTTCTCATATAAACGATCAGCGATTTCGACTCCCCTGCGGAGCTACGCCCCTTCAAAAATGGCGATAAATTTTGGTTAATTTTTTTTTTCCCGAATACCATTAACACCAAGAAAATGAAATTTGGGAAATATGTTTAGCTTATAATAGGGCATGTTTCGAGCCTATTTGTACTTTCAATCTTCCCTTCTAAGTTACTAAACATAACCACCCCCGTTCAATTTTTGTCTAGATCTTTTTTATGACGGTGATAAATACATTAGAAATATTTTTTTTAGATAGACGAAAATATTCTAAAACTTTTTTGCCTCTCTGATGTTCTTCGAAAAGTTAATAGTTTCTGAGAAAAAAATTAATTAAGCAAACACTAACTGTTAAGCTGTAGCGTTGTTAATCGAAAGTTGGAATGAATTTTTAAAGAAAAAATCTTAGCAGGCTTAGCAATCTTTGTCAGAAATATTTTTGACGTTTAAATGTCAGTGGTTTTCTTACTATTATTATTGTTTTATTTAAAATTTTGAAACGTCGAGTGAACGAGCGTAAATGCGGTAGAACTTTATTCATAAATTAATTTGAAAAACAATAATAATAGTAAGAAAACCACTGACATTTAAACGTCAAAAATATTTCTGACAAAGATTGCAAAGCCTACTAAGATTTTTTCATTAAAAATTCATTCCAACTTTTGATCGACAACCCCGTTGTTGAACGGGCAGTGTTTGCTTTATTATTTTTTTTCTCAAAAATTAGTCGTTTTTGGAAAAATTTTAGAGAGACAAAAAAGTTTTAGGATACTTTCATCTACCTATGTAATTTTTTTTTAATGTATTTACCCTCTGCATAAAAAAATTTTAGCAAAAATGTAAAGGGGGTGGTTACGTTTAGTAGTTTAGAAGGATAGGTTGAAAGTACAAATAGGGTGAAAACGTGCCCTACTACCAGTTAAACATATTCCCCAAATTTCGTTGTCTTAGCGTTTATGGTTTTTGAGAAAAAAAAATTAAACCAAAATTTTCCGCCATTTTTGGAGGGGTGTAGCTCCTTAGGGGAGTCCAAGTCGGCCATGGTTTATATATCAAAGTACCCTTAAAATTGCCTAAAGAATCACCCCCTGAAGTTTGGGCATGTCATTCAGATACACCCTGTATATTATTAGTATATTATTTTCACCCTCTACCCTCTTCCTCCATTTCCATACCCTCGGCTCCTCGGCCCAATCATTCCCTCATTCTTCCCTTTGTCTCCTTACCCCCACAATCATTCTCATCCATCGTTTCCCCTCTCCCCCCTCTCCTAAGATCTGCCCTCGGTCCAACTCCTCCTCCCTCAACTCACTGCACCCATTCAACATATGTTCCAACGTTTCCCATTCCTCCCTGCATAGCCTACACCACCNACCCTCTGCATAAAAAAATTTTAGCAAAAATGTAAAGGGGGTGGTTACGTTTAGTAGTTTAGAAGGATAGGTTGAAAGTCCAAATAGGGTGAAAACGTGCCCTACTACCAGTTAAATATATTCCCCAAATTTCGTTGTCTTAGCGTTTATGGTTTTTGAGAAAAAAAAATTAAACCAAAATTTTCCGACATTTTTGGAGGAGTGTAGCTCCTTAGGGGAGTCCAAGTCGCCCATGGTTTATATATCAAAGTACCCTTAAAATTGCCTAAAGTAGTATTGCCTTAGTATATTATTTTCACCCTCTACCATCTTCCTCCATTTCCATACCCTCGGCTCCTCGGCCCAATCCTCCCCTCATCCATCCTTTTGTCTCCTCACCCCCACAACCATTCTCATCCATCGTTTCCCCTCTCCCCCTCTCCTAAGATCTGTCCTCGGTCCAACTCCTCCTCCCTCAACTCACTGCACCCATTCAACATATGTTCCAACGTTTCCCATTCCCCCCTGCATAGCCTACACCACCTCTCCTCATCGGCCATCCAGTATCTGTTAGCTCTCTCCTCGTTTCCACAACGGAACCTAGCCACCAACTTCTTCCCTTCCTCATCTCCTTCCAATAACAAGTATCTAGGCAGCCCCTCCGTAATTATGTCCCTGTACCTTTCGTTATACCTCCCCTCTTTTATTTGTGTCCTTCTTTCCTGTCTCTGCACATCTCGGTCCCTATCTCTCAACTCCCTCCACATCTCCCTACCCACCCTTCGTCTACTATTTATCTCAGTTACCGAGTAGCCCGCTCGTCTATAATAGTTGTCTCTGTCTCCTTTCCCATATCTGATCTTTCCCTCTCTAATTTCCCTCCAACACTCCCCCAAGATCCCGCAGTTTGGCCTCCCTTCTATTCTTTCTTCATATTTCACTGCTCTCCTGCCCGCCTCCACTCTGACCTTATCCACCTTTACCTCTTCCCTCACTATATACCCCGGTGTTTCTCTCGCCACCCCAAGCACCCATCTCCAGTATCTAGCTTGCACGTCCTCCAGCATTGCCTGCTCTCTCCATCCCCATACCTCTGCTCCATACATCATCACACTGCTAACCAGACCTTCAAACATAATCTTCCTCGCTGCCACATTCCTTCCAAAGACTCTCTTCCCCCAACCCCATACTTGTCCCATCACCTTATTCGCCTTTTTTGCCATAGCTATCACATGCGACCCCTCCCTGTTGTCCTCCCTGAACACATACCCCAAGTAAGTATACTCCCTAACCTCCTCGATCTCTTTTCCCTCCCATCTCCAGTTTTCTGTTCTTTTTCTCCCACCCTTACAAAACTTCATCATCCTTGTCTTCCCCACATTCACTTCCAGCCCCTTCCCCCTAAAATATCTTTCCAATGTCTTTATCATATCTTTCATCTCCGCCGCTTCTCTCGCCATGACCACGATGTCATCCGCGTATGCTAACATATGCACCTTTCTACCTCCCACCACCAACCCTCCCATTTGCCCCTTCCCCAATCTATCCTCCAGGTCCGCCGTATACAGTGCAAACAGACTTGGGCTCAGCGGACATCCCTGCCTCAATCCCTTCGTCGTCCAAAACACGCCGCTCAGCTTATCTCCCACTTTTATACTGGCTATAGTCTCCATGTATATTTCCTTCACTCTCGCAATTAGGTGTTCCGTGATCCCCCTCCTTCCACAACTTTCCCCTATCCACCTTATCAAAAGCCGCCTTCAAATCTATAAACAGGGCGTACAATACACCCTGTATATATTTCGCCCCGATTTCCAACCATTATAACTCGCCCCATGGGCTTTATTAGCATGTATAAAAAAATACGTAAACCTTATTTCTGATACTTCATTTGTAAGTAGATATCATCGCTGATGTTCAAAATAATTGTTGAGTTTCAAAAAAATTTATTTCTTTTTTTTACAAAAAAAACCTTATAAATATACTGCTTATCAAAATAGACAATCTTAAAGCAACAAATCTCATTTGCACTCCAAAAATATCACAACCTCATCCTCAATCTAAATTCGAGAAACTTTTTGTTACCGTTGATTTTGAGCAGCTAACAAAGTTATATCAGTCAAACTTTTCGGACAATTCTTGGATAAAATTTCAGGACCATTCTCCGTTATTAAAACATCATCTTCGATTCTAATTCCAATTCCTTTAAACTCATCGGGCACTTTAGCTTGTTCGGGAATATAAATTCCGGGCTCAACCGTCACCACCATACCCGGCTCTATTTTAATACTCCTCGGAATTGAAGGAGTATCATGTACGTCCATACCAAGATAATGTGAAACGTGGTGAGGACAAAATTGAAATGCAATCTAAAAAAGATTAATTTAATTTATTTTTAGGTTACGTTTAAAAGAGTAACTTTTACTCTTGATAATTCATAATTTGAGCTGTTTTGTGGTATTAGTCCCGCTAAACTGAGTTTTCTACCCAATAAGGAACACATTATATCAAATAGTTTATCTAAAGTTGGGAAACGATAGCATAATTCAATTAATTCAGTTTGAACATCTAATACGATTTCATAAAGAATTTTTTGGGCGTTTGTAAAAGCCCCACCTACAGGCCATGTTCTTGTTATATCACTGGCATAACCATGATATTCACAACCTACAATAAAAAACTTAAAAAGAATCATAACCTCAATTTTCATTTACCGGCATCCATTAGAACTAAATCTTGATGATTTAACACTTGATTATTATTAATATAGTGAATAATAGTTGCTCTAGAACCCCCGGCAACAACTGGGGGATAAGCTAAATACTCGGCACCATTTATTCGGCAATGATAATCAACGGAAGCGTACAAATCATGTTCTGTTGAACCAGGTTTGGAGGCGGATATGGTCTCACTAATCCCTCTTGAAGCAATTTCGCATGATTTCCTCATCAATTGTATCTCAGCGGGTGATTTGATTAATCGGAGTTTATGTAGAAATTCTTTTGGGGCTTCCCAAATCTTATTTACATTCCCTCGATAATTACTTGTTAAGATTTTATGTACAGAGGGTTGAACTACGTTAACCACATCATACCAAACCATTACGGACTTATTTGATTTCATAGAGCAACCCACAAAGTTTTCTAATTCCGTTGTTGGTAAAGCTTGATCAACCCCAAATAAATTTACAGCTTCCTCTGGACCTGTTCTTGGTCCATCCCAAACTTCCGAATGATTATCTTTGGTACGAACAAATAAAGTCGAGGTAAATTTCGAATTTTGTGCCGACGTCAAAACTAAACAACTATCTGGTTCTAAACAACCAGTTAAGTAAAGAAAATCGGTGTTTTGTCGAAAAACATAAGGGATTTTATCTGACATGTATTGCTTTACAGCGGAGGGAATTATAACCTAAAAAATAAATTATAAAAATTAATTAATGATTATTTTAGAGATTTAAACTAACAATATGTCGATCTGATGTTTTTCTTGAATCTTCGGTGTATTGTAAAATGGTTTCCATAAGTTTTCTTCGCCTATCTTGAAACTCAGTCATTTGAATACCCGGAGTTACTTCACCTTGTCCTATTAAAAACGGATGAGTATCTACAGTTGGTTGGCCAAAAGACTTTTTAATCGTACTAGAACCTTCTCGTTTACTCATTTGACTTCTTTTAAACGTACAATAATCTTTTCGAAAACAGTCTTTAAAGAGGTTATGTTAATTTAATGTTAATCATCAAGTTAATGATACTTACATATTCGTTGTACTGATCTTGCAGATACATTTGCAAACATTTTTAAAGCTTCTTTAGGTAAATAAAATGTTCGCAAGGTAAAAATAAGATTTTTGAGGTTATGTCGTTTTGGATTTAAGCAAGGATTGAGCGCAATTTGATAAATTTATAGTTTAATTTTGGGTTATTCGATTTAATTAAGTGGAATTTTTAAGGTTTTATGGTTTATGGAAGATTTGTTGGTCGATTCATGAACGATTTTGCAATGAAATGATAATAAACATTTTTGAGGTTAAACTTTGACATACAAAAAAATGTCAAGTTATTTATTTAATTATAAATTATTTAATTTATCATTTTAGGTAAAAATAATTGCATATTTATGATATAACAATTTGTTTAAAAATGGAAATTTAAATAAAAAATGGGAAATTATAAAAAAATTGGGTATTATGCAACCAATGTTACACACACGGTCGATTGTTCGTCGACAAAACAGTTTCCAATAAATAACTATTATAAATAAAAATCAGGGGCGGCACCAGAGGTTTGGCCGCTACAGGCGAAGATGAATTTGGCCGCCCTTGCCTAAATAAAAATTTAAAAAAAGGGGTCCTTTTAATAATGTACAGGATGGTTCAAATTAGATGTCCGAATAGGCTAACTCGAAAACTATAAGAGCTAGAAGAAAAGTAGCTGACATGTCATGATCTTGTTTTTCGAGAAACTGCTAATGCCGAAAACCTCATAGCGCTATCGTCTTTTGTTTTTCCGCAAGAGGCCAAAATTGAAAATATCGTAAAACCCGCAAATGTAATTATCTTGGTTATTATTGTAGGTGGAGTATTATAACTAAGACATTATATGGACACTTTTTTACAGAGAATTTGATAACGTAGTCAAAAAAATTTTTTCGGTTTTAGATTTTGAGATATCATGAGAATTTTCGTTTTTTTAAATGAAAACAACCACTGATTATTCGCTTAATAAATTCGTTATTTTTTTCTGATTACAAAAATATAGGGTTTGACAGGTCTATTTCTTATTGTTTTAGAATAAAACTAAAAATAAATTTTTCTTTTAGTGTCAGAGGTTATTCTTGAAA